GGAAGCACTGTCTGACGCATCTGCCTCCGCGACCCGAAAGGAGAAGCGGCGATGGAAGATGAAGATGAAGTATAAACTGAGTCCTTACCCAGTATATATATGCTGCGGCCATCGTCTTTCCTGGGCTGCACACATGCCACTTTGAGGTAATAAGGCGATAAATCTTACTTCTAGACTCCGTTGTCTTCTCTAAAATGAGCTGGCGTTGCAATTGGCTGAATCAACAGTGTGGCATGACATTCGTATCGAGATCACTAGTTTCAACTATCTAGCCCACCCACATTACGAATTCCTCGTTGATTGCTTGTCGGGCACCACCAGCAACAGGTCTAGGTTTGTGAACATGGCTTTCGGCTCGGTGTTTTTCGGAAAAGCGTTGTCCCAGCGATAGTTAGCATCCTTATTGAGAAGAAATATCTGAATATGCTCAAAATAATATAGTTCACTTTCGATGCAGCCATTTTACTGTGTTGGCAGTGCCAACACGTTATTATTTTTACTATTTCTCATTATTGTCTTTTATTACGTAGTTCAGTGGTGAAAAATTGTTCTTTTGTGACGTCATTTAGGCATTAAACGTTTAAGCTTGTTGTTCATGCATTGTCGCGAAGAAGGCAGCTGTTTGTGTGGTCAAGACATTGACTATTATCTAATTAAACTTTGTCAACCATCAGCTTTACTTTGAAACGGCTCAATTAGAAACCTCAAGAATTTGAAAAGTTTGGGACAACAATTGTTTTTGATGCAACACCTTTTCCACATTCCATCAAATTCCTTATGTCTTAATGATCTTGAGTTCTAACAGTCTTCGGTTGACGATATTTGGTTCAAGGCAATAGTTTTAAAACGACGTGTAAATTCATTCACTGTCGGTGCGTTTGGACGTCTTACAGCTGTGTTATCATTAGAGCTATATTGCGCAAATAATACATCATGAAATTATGAAATGAGCTTAGATAATAATAGTGTCTTTCCATCAGTTCTTCCGGACCAGCTGGCCAATAACTCTCTAACTGTCATTCAAAGTATACGAGCTCGTGCATGCTTCACAAAGTCGACTCGTGTTAGCCAACATGTGTATAATTCTTTGATTAATAGCCCAATGCTTGATTTCTCCGTATCAACAGAGATGACTTTCGTCAGACTAAATGGGTATCCAAGTGGGAGATAATGCATGCATGCTGACGTAGATCTTGACACAGACGTTTCAATCGATCTTATAAATGACCATGATCTTCTTCATTCTCTCTGGTTGATGAAGTTTCTGGCAGATTTGCGATTCCAATTAACTGCCCATTTTGTATTGTATGTGGCGTTGTTATCGTCATCTAGGGACACGGACCATGACGGTTCCATTAAACCGAGAACAGTGACGTTCAGGAGAGAATAATCATGCCTATTTTGTTGTAGATTCGAAAATCTCTTAAGCTAAAATGACTGCCATGAAGAAATTATGAAAATCACTTACCAAACCCGCTCTCAAGGTTAATAGTATGCACAACAAAGATGGAAATCTCATTGTCGTCATTCGCTTTTTTTTTAAACTCTCTCTTAAAACATTACCTGGGGAATGTAGATTTTCTGATGGTCGTATTGCTGGTGCTTGCATCTCGAGGCTGCAATTCGTCCATACACCAGACACACACCAGCCGATTAAAACTAAGCGCTACTTTTAAGATTTTAAATTTTGAACTTGTCTTTTCACCAAATTTAGCTGTGTTTTTAGTGTGATCTGCTGTGCATCGCAGTCATAAGATGTCTATTTCTTCTGTTTGCTTGTGAACAGTGATACGGGAATGTGCCTTTGGTGTGTAATAGAAAAGGTGATCGGTTAGTCTCATCGAAAAATTCTCAGATCTTTATGACATACATATTTCGGCAAGGAACTCGTTTCACCGTGTTGAGAAAAGTAAGGAAACTTACGAAATTTTAGGTACATATGAGTTCCAATAGATAGTTTTGAGGCAAAATCCTTTTTCAGAGCTTTTTCGAGAAAAGTTCATGATCATTCCTCTTAACAAAATTGCAGAATTTTTTAACTCAATCGCACACATACCCCTCCAAGCAATCGTGCATTATTCGTTAAATTAATTTCTTTGACCCTGTGGTCATTCCCTTATGTTGTGGCTCTGCTTTACTCCACAATTGCCCTGTAGCTATCTCTGCTTAAGCCTTATTATATCTATAATCCTTTCCATAATACATCGTCTTGGATTGAATTGGTCCAGTTTCGATTACGAAAATACGGTTCTGATGTCGCTTACCATGATTTAAACCTGTACGGCAATTGGGATATAGAAATGACAACGCGGTTTCAGTCGGTTGCTTCTTACTAATGAAAGTAACCTATTCACAGTGTCTACCTAAGTGCAATTTTTCATGGCGATCATGTGTGATCGCCGTGGCTTTAGGTTAATTATATGACGAAAGCGTAGACATTATTTATTCAAACTATACATCGATAGCTGAAGGTTAGGAAGCAAAATGTTCAGACAACTCAAAAAGTACGGATTATGAAAGCAGCTGCTTCGACAGAGCGCCCGCAGGTCTGGCGCCTCCTTCCTGAACATCTCGTGGCACAGCTCGCAGATGCGGTCCACGGCGCTGTGCATCTTTTCGTTCTTGTATATCGGACATCCTTGCACTTCCCACGGCAGCTTCTCGATCAGCACATCGTCGTTGTCAAACAGCGAGAGACACTGCGTTGAAATGATGCACATGGAAACGACGACCAAGCAGCACAGTATTTTGTTGTCTTTCTGGTGCATCTTTTGTATTTTATTCTAAACAGCCATCTTCAATCAAAACTTATTTTCGATAATTTTAATTTTGCAAGAAAACGGTAAATGATGATATGTACCAAACGCTAAACTTCAACTAACTTAAAACGGTGTTTCCAAATAGCGCGGAGTCATGAATTATTCTGCTTCACAGGTTCCAAGATGACGATCATTAAGTCTGTAATAAATTTCAAGCAAATTTAATAAACGTAGCATAGGTCAAAAATTAGACTAGTGTGAAATTCAATTATTAAGCGTGCAACTCCAGCAACCACGGATTCCTGACTTTAGGACACCTTTTTTTGCTCCTCGAGGTCTATGATGCCATATAAGCAGGCCAGACTCCATTATATTTAACCATCTGTAGTGCGCAAGTGCAATACTAATGTTCCAGAAATTGATAATGATGTTTCGAAAAATATAGTCAAATTATCATAACAGTTAAAACGCAAAGACCAATAGAAGCAGGCGAACTTATAGTATTGAAAATTAATTTCTGAAGAATTTGCCTCAAATTTTTTCACTTTAAGTATTGTCCGTTTTCCATGGCTTCAAACGTTCACATTCAGGGAGTCTTTCGCTGCCAGTAATGTTACACTGTCACTAGAGTGCTGATTTCAAGTGCAGAAATTGCTCACCATTCTTCTCACATAGAGAAAAATATTGTTGCGTACTTTTGGTCATCATATGGCTTACGATCTTTTAGCCTTCATGGCATCAACGGCAGTAAAAAACAATAGTTAAGGAACACTTTTATGATGATATCTGACTCCATCCTACGATGTTCCATGGTTATCGACTGCGTCATTTTCTGTCAGATTTTCGACATAGAAAAACACATGGGAATTTGCGTAGCGTCCATTCTCAAGATGATGTGACTATTCAAGCGCTTCTGAATAACTGGACAGCACGGGGCAGCTTTCTCTTCATGACAGTCCTTCTCCTCTGTTTCATTCACCTCATGTAACCAACGAATGTTCGAAATTTAATCGTGAAATGAGCATAACAGAGGATCATATTTACTTTCTCAGTTCAGGGAAAATGTTTATCAAAACAAATATCATTAAAATCATGAAATGTCAAGTATTTGACTGCTGCATTACATATTAAAAGTAACAGTGGAGATAGGGCCTTTTTCCTGAACAAACAATTTTGTCATAAAAGTTTGAAATTCGAATGGCAGAAGTTGTGGAGTACTTTATCTTTTCCTGTGAAATCGAGCCAGTATAAAATTAAAGAACTGCATTTGTGAAAACAGTCTTTTCCTCCAGACAATTCTAACCTGCCATATGCTAAATCTGAACCATTAAATCATTAGAACGTTTCAATCCAATGAGGTAATATTAAATTTCGCTTTCAGGTAAAGTTTTGAATTCGTTTTCGTTAGTTTTCCAACACTTCAAAAAGGATGTTTGTTCCGGCCCGTCGTATTTCGGATGAAAACATAAACGAAACTTTCCATCGTTCCGCCTATTTTTTGAACATTAGTCGATGATCGATATTACGTTAATTAATGAATACTTCCAGACCGAGAAAAAGTAACTTCCTTCGTTCAACGCTGGTGGTCAGGACCTAAGACTTGGAAATTCGGTGCATTACATTTCCCTTGTCGAACCAAGATCGACGGTTCAGCTGCAAGCAGGCTTCGACGCATAATAAGGGTTAAATGGCACGACTGCCTAAGAAATTATTCCACTCTGTTCCGGACATATACGACCTCAGCAGACGTGGATATTAAAAAAAAATTCTTGTCTGACAGTGAATTGTCGATCGGATTAACTGGTTGAGCATAAGTCATTTTCTCCAGCCCTTGAGACTCCCAAGGGGGGGCTGAAACACGGAGACGTCGACCAGGAGGCCAGTGTGCAAAATAAAAAACAAGGTAGAGGAAAATCTACTTTTTCACAGGAATATTTCATTCTTTAGTGCAGTAACTGCCGGTCTTGTAGCAAAAATGCTGAAAGGCTGCGTAGTACATCGAACATCCAAATCAAAATCGTTCTGCATATGCGAACGATTTAAGGTAATGATTATAATTATCATATAACAACACATTTGTATAATCATTTCGCTAGTACTCCGAAAGGCAAATGACATTTTTCAGGGTAATGCATCGTCGATTGCTTCAAGTTTCAAAATCTGGTACCAAAGCGTACCTTAAAAATAATTCTCAGGAGGCTAGACCTTTCAACGACATTTCTCTTGTCATGTGTTATTACAACATTAGTCTTTTTCAGGCATAGCACTAAGAAACGTGCAGTAATACAGAAATAATAATGCGAAACAGATTATATATAGCATCTCTACTTAAATCTTTTTTGAATACTACTATTTCGGTTACTATTGGCTACAATGAAGGTTCTGACGAACCATTTTCACAGGGTATCAAATTGACAACCAAACACTGAATGGTCGAAACCTTAACGGTTTCAATTGCATTTCATTTCCTCGAAATGGACAATCAACTTTGCGTAATACCGCCATGTTCTAAGGAAAATAGAAGTGTGCGTTGTTGTCTGATCATCATTTGAACCCAAATATATTACAGTAAGTCAGCGATCCATGGTGCATCCATTCTCAGCTTTACAGTACTTTTGGCATAAATTCGCTTTCGGCATTGCAGCATAAACGTGACCACACTTCCAGCATGATCGCTCATATGCATACTTACTTTCTGATAGTTGCTTTCCATATCTCGGTTCCTAGGAATGGCTGGCGACATGGAATAAGCGGGTCATGCTTTACCAACCTGCTTAAAGAGCCAGCCTGTCTTTCTAAACCTCTACATCTACTAAAATTATTTTGCTAAAATGAGGATAGAGTCATTCCCTGGATGATTCTGAATTTAGCCGTCATTATGCATTGCCAGCCTGCTCTCTACCATAAAGTTGCCACGTTTACCACTTGCCGTATAAAAGCCATGGCCTTACTGAGACAAGATACAGGCGGACTTTCATGCAATGAACACACTGCTGGCAATTCAAATGATCCGACAGACCATAAAAAGAACTGGGAGCCAGGAATGGTCGCAAGAGATGATGGAACCGAAGTACTCAAAATTATCAACCTCCTTTTTTGAACTTTTAACGGTCAGAGTAGTTAAGTCGATAGAGTGTCGGATTCTGAACAGCGATGATCCAGGTATTGAGTTCCAGCCAAGGTCAGTGGACTTTTTTGAGGTTGAAAATTTGGTACCACTCTGTGGGAGATTACATCCTATGCTTGCCACATTGCTGTCATCTACTTTGCCTTTAAAGTAGGGCAATGTTGGCTGATAGCATTGAAATAGAAATAAGTACCCCACCAATAACCTTATGAAAAGAAGCGGGTAAGCAATGGCCTTATCATGAGCGTGCGAAGACTTGAAGAACAAAATACAAAGTACGGTAAAAATAAAATAATAAACTAGACATTCGTTGCAACGTGAAAATACAGCAATCGAGAAGGCAGCTTGATTATTGAGAAACAGTTTTTTAATTTTAGCCCTACTAAATAAAGAAACAATCATGCGAGTTTGATCTACCTTTTCTTTCACGAGCAACTGTGATGTGTGACTCCTTACTTTCGTGAGGCTCAAAATGCGGCACATGTTCCGTCTCACTCGCATCAATAAAAAATGCCTTAATGTTTTTAAGACCCTATCTACTATTTGGTGATTACTATAACCAACCCGTTGTCTCTTCTTTTCCTCCCATTAAGTGATACCATTTGTCAATCGTGGAGTGAAAAAAAGGCATGCGGTCCAACAGCGGTTTGAACTCGCGACTTCGTGATTCTGAGTATGGCGTTATACCAAATTAAAACCTCGGGTTAACAATTGTACCATTCCTTGTTGATGTGAAACCTCTTATACGACAACCTTGAAAAGGCATAACATCAATTCCTTAGGTTGATGATCAAGGGCTGAATTTTTGGGTACCGGAAAAGTAAAGATTTTAATTTCAAAAATGTAGGAGCGTTTGAAGCAAAAAGTTGCACTCGTTTTCATGTTCGGCTGATATAGTGACGCTGGGATAATCTTCTGCCATTTTATGGTTGCATCTATTTTTGATTACATCATATTATACAGTCAGCCATTAGGTGAACCCAGAAAAGTGTAACAAGAAGAGGTGCTCGCATCAAACGTCATGGCCATAAATCTCCCCCTTTGTATGGCGACATCAACAATGCATGTCATCCCTTTGTTCACAGGTGAATGACTGCCCACACGTTTCATTCCCTGGAGGCATTGAGGCACCATGGAATGAATTCTTTCCTCAACATAGTTGGCCATCAAGACAGATATTGTCCTTTGTCGGGATTCGACCACGGCACCTAAAGAGCTCGAAGCCATCACCTTCACCTCTGTGCTACTGCGCCTGCGTACTCTTCGTGCAAAGTTGAAGAATAAACGAAAATTGAGTACTCACAAGATTTGGGCTGAACCGTAGCAACGTCAGATGATGTGCGAGATTGGCTGGTCGCTTCGACGTTGAATGAATGTCTGGAGCAGTACACACGTTTGGTGGTATTTAAACGAAGTCTCCTGCGCAGGCGTCACCATCCCCTGCCCTGATATTAATGACGCGTTGGCCACATGACCACGCTTAATTTCGATGATTGCATTTTCAACGTCGATGCAATGAAGCTTTCGCTGAGCGTATCCATTACGATGGTCCAAATGTCACTTGGCCACCCGTTGTCCGCGATGACCACTTTGCCGGACCGGAAGCTGCGGCAAGAGAGTCGTTTACTGGTAAACGCGAAACCTGCAATTTTGGCATTGGCGCCATCTACACTTTGGAGATCGACGTAACCACTCAACGTGGTCAGAAATACGAGTTATTTCAATTGCGTACATTCACATACACAGGAGACCGTTTTTGTTTGACTACGCGGAAATTAGTTGCTTTTTTGGGTCACTAGTCTTCTGCGTAACCATGACATACACTAGCCATCGT